GGCGAGGTTGTATGTAGCTCAGCCAGTAGAGCGCTTGCTTCCCTGGCATGTACAAAGCCCTAGGTTCCATCCCTGCCCCCTCCTAAGTCAGACACTCTGGTGTGTGCTTATCGAAGCAGTGGGTAATGAAAGTAGGAGGATCAGAAGTTCAAGGTCAGCCTGGGCTACTAGAGTCTGCTGCTGTGGTCCTTAATCTTCAATGCCAACTTGAGGATCTAGAATTACCGTTTGTGTGTGAGGAAGTTTCTAGATTGGGTTAACTGTTGTTGGCGATAAAATGGGATTGGGCTATATATTGTTATGTACTTTTTGCCCTGTAATTATATTGGCGGTATTATTTAACCCGATATCACAATTAATAAGACACAGACACCTGTTAAATTTTATAATTACCTTATTTACATTGGGCTGGGCAGATATTTCACCTACGCTGTCTCGATAACCTTACCATCTCCCAGCCCCCATCCAATGCCATCTTCCTTAACCATTTCCTAACCATCCCTTCCATCCATAATCAATAACCAACCAATCCTTCCATCATAACCCCAAGGTACTTGCTTATATTTTTTATCTTGGTGTTTCTCCATCCACACCATCCTCAGAATCCTTCCTTCCAGCCCACATGGTTCCTTCTCCACGCTGTTGTGGCATCCTCCTGACTCTTCTCTTCCCATCCTTCTGTTTCCCATGATTCTCTTGAATTGAAACCCTGGGCTACCCCATTTTGCCCTGCTTAGGTTTTAGGCCTTTAATCAGCCAATCATGTTGATTGGTCTTTGGCAGGTTCACACAACAAGGATAGGTTTATGCAGGCAGTAACCAGATCTTGAGGGCCAATAATTAGCACCAAAATACAGCATCAGACCAACTCCCAAGTGAGATGGAAAGACCCATGCCAGTACCATTCCTTGAGTTAGAGGTTCTAGGCAGAATAAAAAGGGGAAAGTGAACTGACCCATGTTCATCTCTCTCTGCCTCTTGACTGTGGCTGCCGTATGGGCAGCTACCTCAAGCTCCCAATGCGAAGGCATCTCCAGATGATGGACCCACACCACAGACTGTGGGTCAAGGTAGGAGGCCAGCCCGTCCTTCCTTCAGCTACTTCTGTTGGGTATTTTGTTACTGTCACAGCAACTAGAGAAGAGAAGCAACTAATACAGCTGTCTAGAATCAAAACAGAGGTACAAGGTCAGATGGGAAGTTAGGCCTGTCCTTCCTGGCACATTATGATAGCAAGATGCTGGGGTTTGCATTTGGGCTTCAATTGAGCTCAGAGCAAAACTGGAGTGATCCTGTTTTACAAATAGGCACAGCATCTTCCCCTGTAGCTTCCACTGGGTATCAGTGGGCCAGCTGCCTTGAGCTTTGTGCCCACAGAGTCCCAGCAAAGACCAGGTGTTGGGAAGGCTGGCTTACACACCTGCCTTTATCCCCAGGGAACCTATTGAGGAGGGAAGCTCGCCATGGTGTTCAGGATGGACCACACAGCAAGGGTGATGGCTCAAGCCTGTAACCACAGCATTTGGGAGGTGGAGGCAGAAAGATCAGGAGATCAAGGTCATCCTTGACTACAGAGAATTTGATCAGGCTGGGTTATCTGAGATCCTACCCGGTAGGAAATGGGAAAGAAATTGAGACAGGAAACAGCTCAGATGTCCCACAAAGCATATTGGTCCAATGGAGGATCACAGGTTTCTACCTGGAAATCTATGTAGCATGGAGCACGGTTATACACAGCACTTAGATTACATTTAATTATTTGAGATTGGGCATGTGTGAAGGTCAGAGGACAAGTTGAAGGAGTTGCTTCTCTTCTTCTGCCAAGTGGGTCCTGGAGTATCAAACTTGGGATGTCAGGCTCAGTGGCAAACCACTGCTGAGCCATCTTGTTGGCACAAGCACTTATTGCTGAAGCTCTAAAGATCGTATACATTCTGCTTTAATTCTCACAACAGTGCTGTGAAGGGGGAAATGACTACTGACACCATAACATAAATTAGAAGATTGCAGTAGAGGTGAATTCACTTAGCCAAGGTCACACAGTATGGGAAAGAGTTAGGATTCAAATCCATCCCATCTGCCCCCATGGCCTGGACGCTTAGGCACCGTGCTAAAATGCTGTGGAAAGACCTTTCTGCTTGGAAACTGCTTCGACAAACTGTTCATGAAAGAAAGCAAGACACACAAGTGTGTGCTATATAATTCTGGGGTGGGGGTGCAGTTTCACGTGAATAGGAAGACATCTGAAAGGACACATACACAAAACGCTTCTGTTTTCTTTATATTTTTTTCTGGTATTGGAGGGTTAAACCTAGGGCCTTACACATGCTGGGTAAACATGAGACACCTTGCCATCACCTCACTGGATCTTTACACCAACTTTATGAGATTGACTTATTGTCTTGCCCAAGACCACAGCTAATAAATTGCAGATTTGAACCCAGACTGCCTAGCTCCAAATCTCATTGGTATTGAATGAATGACCACACCCAATGCCCAGAGCAAGCTCACACGCTTGGCGTGGACAATCCTCTGGAGAAGAATGGAGGCCCTACCTCTGTGTTCATTGACCTCAACCATTGCCACTCAGGGGAACAACTTGAAGGAAGGAATTGTTGTTTTAGTTCATGGGGGTGTAGGTTTTTATGCCGGAGTGGTTGTCTCTGCTGATTCTGGGTCTGTGGTGAGTGTGAGTCTCAACACACTGGCAGCACGAGACTGGGCTGCTCAACTCAAGATGGGAAGGAGAGAGAAAGAAAATACAGAAAAGACACGCCCCCAGCGACCTGCTTTCTCCATCTGTCTCAGGACGGACCACTGGCTGGCTCTGTATCGGTTCCTTTCCTATCGCTGTGATGAAGCAAGTTGTGGAAGGACGGCTTGACTTTTCCTGACAGTCCAACATGGTAAGGAGGACATGGCCACAGGACCAGGTTGCTGCTCATATTCACAGTCAAGAAACAAAGGGAGAGACTGGGGAGACAGCCCTGCTGTGAGCACCGGTCGCTGCTTTTCCAGAGGACCCAGGCCTCAGTCCCCAGCACCCACATGGAGGCCCATCCCGAACTCCAGTTCCAGGGGATCCAATGCCCTCTTCTGCCCTCCTTGGACACCGCAGGCACACGTGGGCTACATTAATATCCATTCAGGCAAAACACATAAATAAGTAAACCCTGAAGAGGAGGAGGACAAGCGCCGGTGCTTGTCTCACTTTCCACTCCAGGATCCCAGCCCACAGAACCTGTGCTGCCCACACTCAGGCTGGAGCTGCCCCCCTCAGCCTGATCAGAGGCATGTGCCACCGGCAGAGACAGTGCACACCTCTAATCCCAGCGAGTGGGAGGCAGAGGCAGGCAGATCTTAAGTTTAAGGCCGGCCTGTTCTACAGAGTGAGTTCCAGGATAGCCAGGGGCGAACAGAGAAACCCTGTCTCAGAAGAAAAATAAAAAATCAAAAGCAAGCGTTTCAATGCAGGCAGGTTAACCATATAACTGAGCAGTTGGAGCTGCGTGGCTCCCGTCTGCCTCCCCCAGCACAGCTGAGCAGCCTGCTTTACTCTCCTCTGTTCATTCAAAGTGTGCGTCACAAGAGCCTCCTGGGTGCCCTGATTTACGGGGTAAGGCTTATTAACTGCTCATTTGTGTGGGGTACGTGGTTCATATGTGCAGGTATGCTTACGCATGTGCACATGTATGGAGTCGGAGGAGGATGTCGGATGTCCGGCTCTGTCGCTTTTTGCATTATTCTTTTGATGAATGTGGAACTAAGCTGGCGGCCAGCAAACCCCAGGGATTCTCCTGTCTCCGTGCCCCGTAGCACTGCTAGTACAAGCCCAAGAGGTCATGCGTGGATTTTGAACTCGTCTTCATGCCTGCACTGCAAGTGTCCTTACCTACAGAGCCGTCTCCCCAACCCACCATGTGGTAAATTTTAAAGGTAAGTTTTTTCGAATCTAAAGTCACTTCTGAGCCTCAGTTTCCCTTTTTGAAAAGTTGGGACGTTGATTCATCCCTCTGTGAGAGAGCATTGTGAGCTTGGTAAATCACTTGGGCTGGAATCTTGCCTGTGGGGGATTACCTTGTTTCTGTAACTTGACGTGAGAAGACACATCTTAATGGTGGGTGGGCCTGGCTGTGTAAGTGAGGGAAGGGAGCGGAACACTGCCCAGCATGCACTTCTCTCTTTGCACTGCAGCCTCGATGTGGGGCTGCTTCAAGCTGCTGTCGCCTTCCCCATCAGGATGAACTGTATCTTGAACTGTGCGCCATGCGGTGGCATACTCTGTGAGTTCAAGGCCAGCCTGGACTACATAATGAGTTCCAGGACAGCCAGAGCTACGCAGAGAAACCCTATCTTGAAAAACCAAAGAAAGAAAGAGAGAGAGAAAAGAAACCAAGATGCCTTCTCTTTTGTCAAAACGGTTGCTGGGACCAGGCTCCTGGGCCTGGTTCATGCTCTTCCACAGAACTCCAGCCATCAGCTCTAAGCCCAGGCCCTGCCTTTCTTCCAGGGTAGACCAAGGGAACACGTATAAAGGATGATGGGTGGATATCAAGCGAACAGGATGCTCTCCTTCAAACTGAGCACAGAGCCAGACGTAGTGCCGTTTGCCTGCCATCCTAGCACTCAGGAGGCAGAAGCAGGAGGATGGCTGCAAGTCTGGGATCAGTGTAGTCTACAGAATGAGTTCCAAGCCAGGGCCACATGGCGATCCCCCAGCTCAGAAACGACAGACAAAATAAGTAAAACTGAGTGTAGGAGGAGCTCCCGACAGGAATCCGGCCAGGACTGGTTGATGGAAAAGCACCTTGAATAAACGTGTTGCCTCTTGCCTCTTCCTCCTGTGACAATCCTCCACTCTGTGTTAGGCCAGCCCGGCCAGCCCTGCAGCCTCAGATAAGACCTTTGGCGGTGGCTTTCCTATCACTCCTTCGAGCGGCGTGGGGGGACACCAGTGAGGCCGGGTGCCGGCAGAGACTGGGCACAGCAACAGATCCAAGATGGGTTCTAAGTACCCACGGTCCCTGCGCTGCTGCCTGCCGCTGGGGGCCCTCCTGCTGCAGGCGGCTTTCATTCCTCTCTTTTATTTCATCCCCTATCAGACTTCCTCTTCCTCTTCCTCTCTTCCCTCTCCCTCGGTGGATCAGGTGGATAACAAGTTCTTGGAGCACTATCGAGGTGAGGTGCCTGGGAGAGGGGTCAAAGGGGGGAAGGGGCTGAGGGGAGGGGAGGTCTTCAGCTCTCCAAGGGTACAGGCACTCCTTTCTACAGCATTCCCAAAGAAAGGATTTCCAGGGGCTGGGGAGATGGCTCAGTGGTTAAGAGCACTGCCTGCTCTTCCTTAAAGGACCCTGGTTCAATTCCAGCACCCACATGGCAGCTCACAACTGTCCAAGGAATCGTACACATTCATACTGAATGACACATTCATGCTAATGCACGTAAAATAAATTATTCTAAAAAAAAAAAAAAGAAAGGATTTCCAGCCCTTCCGTCGGTTGTGTGGAGACAGTGTGGGCTGAGCTTCAGGAGTGCACCTGATTTCTGTCCTCCGTGAGCCCCACCTGGATTTTTGGGCACAGAGCTGCTTGCCTTTGGTCCTGAATTCCCTGTCCTTACGATGTTTTAGTTTCTGCTCCCCTTCTCTCTTTGTGCGATGACTGTCACTGTGTTGTGTGGTAGGGTGTCTCCCTCCTTTTTAATTGTGTGTGGGGGTGTGGATATGAATGTAGAGCCCCTTCGGGGCCAGAGGCCCCACATCCCCTAGGAACTGGAGTTATAATAGTGAGTCAGTTGGTGGGGGGTGCTGGGAACCGAACACTGGTCCTCTGCAAGAACGAGACCCTCACTGCATCTCCAGCCCCGCTTGCTGGCTCTTTTCTATACTCCATCCCTCCTGTTCCCTGACCCTCTCCAAGGCTGGGAAGCCTGCCTCGGGTGTGAATTTAGAACCAAAATGAGTGACTGCAGGGGAGTTTAGAGACGGTTCTTTCATGTGTGGCTGTGATGAGGGCGACTTGGGTAAGTCACACGACCACAGTGGAGTGTGTTCGCTTCTGTACAAACCATCTCGGCATGTCTGAGGCCTCTCCTCTCCCTGACAGGATGCTCAGGATAAACAGATGGGCTCCTTGAGGGGTGTCCCAGTGACAGAGCCTGAGTCTGGCAGAGTCGGGGTTTGGTCCTCTGCAGTGTGAACTGACCAATTAGCTGGAAGCAGAGGTGAAGCCAGAGGCTCCTGGCACAGTTCCAATTCCTCCTGTGTGTGTGTGTGTGTGTGTGTGTGTGTGTGTGTGTGCGCGCGCGCGCATGTGCTTTTTTTTTTTTTTTAATGTCTTTTAAGGCACGGTTTCTCTATGTATTCCTGGCTGTCCTAGAACTAGCAGACCAGGCAGGTCTTGAACTCAGAGAGATTCACTTGCCGCTGTCTCTGGCGTGCCAGGATTAAAGGTGTGCACCACCATCGACCGGCTCACTCACTCACTCCTGTTAAATCCAACCCAATGTTTATTTTAACTCCGCTCAGCCCTGTTCCTCCACTGACTTGAGTATTGCACCCAGCGTGGGGTCTGGAAGCAGGGATTGGGCAGTCGGTCTTTATTGAGCCTTTGCTGTACAGCAGGCACTATTCAAACAGCTTCCGGTTGGATCTTCACAGCAACCCAAGGAGGCGCTGCTACGCCCTCGATTTCTTACTGAGGAAGTCGGTACTCTGCTGTTGTCATTGGCCCACGGTCATTCAGCAGGCATTGGCACATCGGGTTGACAGTCAGGCATGCTGGGTTTGTTTGCTTGTGTCTGAACAGTATGTCTCATGGCCTCTGTCACAGTAGGGCTGAGCCACTTGTCCCCTAAACAGTAGGTGGGAGCCAATCAGACAAACTAGTGTCTGCAGGTTGACCTCAACTTCTGCATGTTCTAAACAAACAAACAAACAAACAAACAAATGTAATTCTTAATAAGGGGGCTGGAGAGATGGCTCAGTGGTTAAGAGCCCTGGCTGTTCTTCCCAGAGGACCCGGATTCAATTCCCAGCACCCACATGGCAGCTCAGAACTCTAATTCCAGTTCCAGGGGATCCAGCACTCTCACAGACAGGCACCAATGCAGTGAGAGCACCAACATACATATAATAAAAAAACAAATAATAAATTATTTTTTTAAAAGTTCTGTGATGAAACAGAAATCTAAAAAGATATAGATAGGGCGAGAGAGGTGATGCAGCGGTTAAAAGCCAGAGGACCCACCCAACTTCAGTTCCCACCACGCACATCTGTAACTCCAAGTCTAAGGCTTCTAATGCCCTCTTTAAATCCCCCCACACCAGGAATAATAATAATAATAATAATAATAATAATAATAATAATAATAATTTTAAATGAACGAATAACAAGGATTTAAAAAATTACCATGTAAAAAACATTTTTTTTCAAATCCAGACATTGTGGCACACCCCTTTAATCCTAGTACTGAGGAGGCAGAGGCAGGTGGATCTCTATGAGTTTGAGGCCAGCCTGGTCTACAAAGAGTGCCAGGGCAGCGAGGGTTGTTACACAGAGAAATACTGACTTAAAAAAAAAAAAATAAAGAACAAACTACAGCCGGGCCCAGAGGTGCATGCCTGTAGTCCCAGCATTCTGGGAGGCAAAGGCAGGCGGATCTCCATGAGTTTGAAGCCAGCCTGCCTACAAAGCGAGTCCAGGACAGCCAACGCTACACAGAGAAACCCTGTCTCAAAAAGCAGAAAAGAAAGAACTAATATATATAGATAAAGACTTAGATAAAAACATAAAACTGGAGGTGCTAATCTTTTCTTCCAGCAGCCTGTAAGGACTGTCTTGGACATCTTCCAAGGTGCACGCTCCTTGTTCTGCTGACCTGTAATGGAGCCAAATGGGCACAGGGTGGGAGAGCGGGAGCAGAGTCAGCCTCAAGCCACATTTAGGAGATGAAATCACCTACACGTGGGGAAAGAGAAGGGCCGGGAATGTCTCCAACCTGTGGCTGGACTACAGCTGTGCGCCTTAGTTTCTATTGATCCTCTATCACTGTGATGAAACACCGTGACGGAGGCAACTTATGAAAGAAAGCATTTGATCGGTCTGCCCTTCTGGACGGTTAGAGTCCATGTTGGTGGAATGAGGGCGTGGAGGCAGGAACGCTGAGCGCTCACACTTCTGATCTCAAGCAGGCGCCCGGAGTACACTAGAGATGGCAGGAGGCATTTCAAGCCTCAAAGCCTGACCCTGTAACACAGAGCCTGACCCTGTAACACAGAGCCTCCAACATGGCCTCACCTCCTAACCATGCTCAAGCAGTTTCACCAACAAAGGACCAATTACTCTGTAAGCCTGCAGAGGCTGTTCTCATTCAAACTACCACTCTGTGCCAGTTCTTAAGAGACACAAAAACAGAGGCCAGATGTGGTGTAAATGAACAGTGATATGTTCGTTCTGGCCCGGAGGTGGAGATGTCTGTGAGATGCTTCAGGGAAGCCGACTCTGTCGGTCATCTACAGCTGTGTAACAACCATCCCCAATGTCAGTGCCTGAAAGAAGCGACCATGTCAAGCCAGGTGGTAGTGGCACATGCCTTTAATCCCAGCACTCTGGAAGCAGAGGCAGGTGGGTCTCTGAGTTCAAGGCCAGCCTTATTTACATAGTGAGTTCCAGGACAGCCAGGGCTACACAGAGAAACCTATCACACACACACACACACACACACACACACACACACACACACACACACACAAATAAACCAACCGTGCAAGTGGGCATCACGCAGCTGGCAGTTTCACTCAGGGTCACACCCCTGTCCAAAACCTAGAAGGTTAACTGGGGCAAGATGGCTCCACCTGGCCTCGTTTCCTTCTGGCGAGCAGTTGGTTTCCCATCAGGCTACCCTAGACGTCACATGACAGCAGAGGAGTTTATGAGAACAAAACGGGGGGGGGGGGGTGTTTGTACAATGTCTACCCACACCCGATTGTCTGACGCTAATTATAAGGGCAAACTCACAGGAGAGTGACCCCCACCCAGAGGCATGTTCCTCTGGGGGCCATTACTGAAACAGTTTACCAAAGACAGCCCATCTGCCAAACTGGGGGTACCATCCCTGGGGACTTTTGCTTTGTAAGCCACCCATTGGCCCCTGCTCTCCTGGGGCAAGGAAAGGGGTTATGGGAAAACATGAGGGGTTTCCCAGCGAGGAGTGAGTACCCCACACCTGAGGCCTCCCTCTCAGGGAAAGCTGTTTCTGTTCCCAGATTGCTCCGTGATGGTGGGGTTCGGGAGGGAGCAGAGTCTCTGGGGAAGGAGATGGTGCGGAGCGCTATGGCCCCCAAGGCTTTAGAGTGCCTCCCTGAAGTCTTGTTTCCTCAGGCTATTAGAAGAGACTAGAGTGGGTGGGCAGGACCGGAAGGGGGAAAGGGAAAAGGTCTGTGTGGAGATAATTCAAGGGCTGAGCTGCAGTTATGTAAATGGGAGTCTCAGAGAGGGAACTGTCATCCAAAGAGTACACCTGACCATCGGGCAGCCGGTCCTGCCCCGTCACAGCGCCAGACCAAACAAGAGCCAGGGAGCAGGTGCCACTACCCATTTTACAGATTAGGAAGCTGAGACACACAGGGAGAACCAGGCCTCAGCCCTGACAGCAAACTCAGTGGTCAGACGTGGCGTAAATAAACAATGATCTGGGAGGTGGCACACACGTATGTCTCCCTGTGTGACCTGTGCTAGGTCATAGCGGCCCTCTGTGTCTCCCTCCTCCTCCTGTAAAACAAGAAAGATAAATGGTGATTATGGCAGACTGTGAGGCTGAGAAGTGGGACCAGTCTTGGGGACTGAGTCCTGTGTCTCGCTGCTGGGCTCTGAAATTTCACTCAGGCAGTAAAATTCCTCCCCGACTCCACCCTCTCAGCTCCTTATCAAACCCCAAACACCTGGCCGTCCACCAGTTTATCAGGCCCGGCTGGCGGCTGGCGTGGGGCCGAGTAGCTCTGAGAGGCTGAGGCTAATGGCCGGGGAGGTGCCCCGAGCCTAAGGGGGACTCAGACCTGGGGTGGGGGTGGGAAGGGGCAGGAGTGAGCCCTGAGAAGAGTCATTGTGAGTCTGGAGTCTCAGGAGGCTGGAGAGGAAATGGGAAAGCCTGGTGGGGGCAGGGAGGGCGCCTGAGGCCAG